TTTTTCCATTTAGTACTGTCTTCAGTTGCAGTGGCAGAAGTGAGCATAAATCATGTGGAAATTCAGGCCTGATTCCAGGGACCTGGAAATGGGGAGTCTGCTCACTTCTTGGTGGATACCAGACAGTGTGCCAGGGCTCTTCTGCATTTAAATGCCTAAAATACAGCATCAAGTAATTAGAAACCCACGAAGCGCGGTGACTTTCATTTCACTTGTTCAGATGCATACTACCTGGTTAAGACAAATGAAACTTTATTTATCTGTAATATACACTGGGGTCAGTGCAAAAAGCACATTTAATCATTTTGACCTCTTTTGGTTTTTTGTTTTGTTTTGTTTGTAGCGAGAATTCAACCCAAGGCCTCGTGCATTCTGGGGAAGCGTTCTACCCCTGAGCTACACCCTCAGTGACACATTAAAGGTTGAATTTAGCTTTAAACTGTATTCATTAGCAGTTTTTTTGGAATGTAGTAAACACCATGCCATAGTTTCTTGTGTTTGCCAGTTAGTCCTCAAAGCCTCGTTTTTGTCACCTTCCTCTCCAGATATAATCCCCGTAATCACCAATAATTGACCATAAACGAATATTCCCTGTCCTCCAATAGAGGAGCCCAACTTAAATTCTCTATTCTTTTCATAATCCAGCAATGGCCCAACCTATCTTCTCTTTTCATGATCAGGTGACTGTCTTTGGATTCACCTGGGTGGGGACAGCCTGGTGACGACTGCATGGAAGTCACCTCATCTGGAAGCCTGGTTAAGCACAGAACCAGCTTTGTGCTTAGGTTCCTAACAGGAGATCTGAAGAGGAGCTGAGGGAGGGCGAGTCAATGGCTGCCATTGCATGGGTATTTCTGTGCAGTGACAAACTGTGGCCATGAGGGTGTATTGGAAGATTCACAGGAGGCATGAGGCTACAGGAGCAGATGCTCTTCTTTAACAATAGAAATTGACAAAGTTTAAATCTTGGCCATGTTCATTGCCAGTCGTGGATAAATATCAAATTTCTAGATTTTCTTAAGTCCAGTTTCCTCAATCCGTGTCCGAAAACAAACAATCATGTTAACCCTTACCTGTTAGTTGTGGGAAATGGATGAGATAATGTGGATCTGAACGCATAGTTGAGGCTGCGGGGCTGCCTCTAGTTCATTTCTGCCTTTGGCATATTTATGAAGCACTCACCAAGAAACATTTCTCCAATGGTTTGTGTATTCTAGTCTGTTCTGTACTTCTCTGCTAATAGAAGTAGCAGGTGTTCCTCCCAGAAGGTTCTAGCTCCCAAGAGGACATCAGTATTCTCTACTTTCAGCCTCGTGGGCCATTCATTGTTCCAGAGTTCATGTGATACAGCTCCTAGTTGCAAAGCCCTCAGTATCCCACCACTTGTGGACAGACGATTGGAAGCTGCATCTCACTTTAAGGGAAAAGCAGATTGTATTTCATTCAAATACTTATTAAGTTGACAAGCCCCCACTCCAGTGAGCCTGCCCGTGAAGGGCCACATAATAGGGCCAGTGTGGAATTGAGCAGTCAGGAGGAAAATAAAGGAAAACAAGAGGATGTGTGTCTTAGGGAGATAATATTCTCTTGGAGAACAAGGTAGGAGGCAAGAGATACATATGAAGCTATAAATTATCATCTGCTGCCCAGGGTGATGCTATCCTGGCCAAAGCATCTCAGTGTGGTGGCTTGCACATTCCCCATGAAATAGGCATGTTCCCATGTTCCCTGAGATGTGCTCTGTGTGTGATTGGGCTGGTTACAGAGTGGTAGACAACACAGGCTGGACCGTCTCTCTAGTGAACACCTGCCTCACTGATAAGGCAACATGAAACCACTAGTCACAGGTTTTCAAACTGTGACCAACACACTGGCGGGTCCTATCTCTGGCTCTTTTATTCTTCCTCTCTCTTCTACTCCCCTTTCTCCTCTCTCTCTCTCTCTCTCTCTCTCTCTCTCTCTCTCTCTCTCTGTCTGTCTTTCTCTTCTCTCCTGCCTACAGCATAAACCCCAAACTTCTGGTCAAAGTTGATGAGAACTGACCATTAGCACTGGCGAGAATTAGGATTCCTGAGGAGCCACTATGATCTCAGCTGAGGAACTTATTCACCATGCTTTTTATCATATTTGATTTTAACTCCTCTTATCAACTTTCGGTTTAAATGGATGTATGTGTTGGAAGAGATGGGTCATCAACCATGACCCCATGACAGGTAATGATACAGCCATGGTGTGAGGTCATCATTTACACAAAAGATGAGAGGCCAGACAACTGGTTTAGACCACAGCAACTCTTCCTGTAGTGCACAAAGTGGTAACCTAATGCATATTGGATGACTTCACGGAGTGAGCAATTGCAGGCCTAGTTTCCTACAAGTACTGTCTTGTCCACAGAGATACCTGTGGGGAAGAATGCAGGGCTACCAGTTTTTGGTGGTGGTTTTCAAATCCTGTAGGTACCAAAAAGTACTTTTCCAAACAGAGTCTCTGTACTGCTTGTTGGATGGTGTGTGTTTATCTTAGAGGGGCAGGAAAAGAAAAGCAAAAGTTTTTAAGGACCCCAGCAAAGAATGATACCCTAACCTGTCTAGTTGTAAATGCTCTCCATTATCCCAACTCAGAAACCCCAGGGAAGGCAGGGGACTAGCCTGAACGCTGGCTGTGCTTCAGTAGTAAGTCAAGTCAAGCTCAGCAGCATGGAACGATGGCTCAGGATGGGCCAGAAGGGAGACAGCTGGTCCGCCAAAGAACTCTGTGTGTTTAGATATGCCTGGTATCAAAGGAGATGTCTTTTGAAATCACTGGAATTGCCACAGCAATGAAATTAAGATATTCCAATAACTTTGACACAGTAACAAGGGAAAGTTTTATTCACACGGGGATGGGAGCACCGAGGCTGTGCTTCCATGCGTATTGGGAAGTCAATGGGCAAGGCCTACATGCTCTTTGAGTCATGTGTCAGCATCGTCTGAAGATGCGCTGACTTTGTTTACGCTTTTTATTCGTGTTTTATTTTTTTTTAGATTTAAACAACATTATATAAAAGGAGGGTTATTCACATGGAACTTAACACACAGCCAATAAAAATTTCGATGCAGTGTGCTGTTTATCCTTTGGTCCACTTGACCCAAAACAGTGTCACCTGGAACCAGGACTGGGAAAATAAAATCCATAAAATAAACTTATAAGCATGTCTGTGAGACACTTTTTTGATGTTGTTGAATGATTGACGTAATAGGGCCTAACTCACTGTGGGCAGTGCTACTCCTGGGCAGGTGTCTCAGGGTGATATAAGAAATCAGGTCGAGCAAGCCACAAGGAGCAAGTAAGCAACATCCTCCACGGCTTCCGTTTCAGTTCTTCCCTCCAGGTTCCTTTCCTTCCCAAGTTGATTTTGGCCATGGTCTTTATCACAGCAGCAGAAAGCAAACAGCTATCGTGGTAAAACCAATGACACAAATCACCCATGGAGAGGAAGTGGGAAGACCGCTCTTACCAGTGATGAGACTGATGGTCTCTAGACCAGGAGCAGCTCTGTGAGAGCCACGGGACCACACATGACCTCAGTGCAGCGATTTACTTCCAAACCCACTCCAGGAAAACCAGCGGTGAAGCACGTGAGATGGGCCTGCGGGGTGTTCACCGTGAGCTGATATCACAGCAAACACTAGAGTAACTTAACTGTACACAATGACCTGACACATGGAAGGCGAGACAAGCCAGGCAGTGGACAAACCCTAACCACCCTGAGAAGTGTTCCCAAGGCAGCATCTTGGAGAGACGCAGTTTCCACACAACCACACGCAAAGCTGCACATGTCGAGAGCTGCACAGCGACAGGCCTTGGAAAACGGAAAGGACTCATTAGAGTATTCATCAATATTTTATTCTTTTAGCTTTTTAGTTTCCTTAAGCTTGTGGATTTTTTTTTCAGTGAACCGCAATTGCACAGAAAGATGCAGTGCAAACTGAGGAAAGGCCCCAGCTGTGTGCTTTGCAAATCTATAAAAACGGCCAACAATTTTATATACGTGAAAAGCTCAGTGTTGCTACACTCCAGGGAATTTTAGTGTCTAATGGTAGAAGGACATACAAAACTAACAAAATTATGCTCATGGTTTATGGAAAAAAGAACCCTCACAGCATTGGTGGAGGTGTATATTAGGACAGCCATCAGGAAAGAGGGCAGCTAAGTGGAAACAGAGCTACCGAATGAAATTCAGTCTATCACTCAGAGAGACGCCGGGATCCTGTGTTCATTTCACAGCATTCTCATGGTACAGCAAACTGTCTGCCATTAGACAAACAGAAAAGGACGATGCCATCATGATCTACATACATGTATCTCATATACATTAGAAGTGAAATGTTAGTCAGCCTTTAAGATAGGATTTTATATAATTTGCAATACTGTGGATAAGCTGGGCACTACAAAAGCACAACATGCCCCACACAGGGGAAAATGAGTGCTATAGAACCTTGTTTTTATGTGAACTTAAAGCTGAGAATCTCACAGCAGCAGAAAGTAGGTTGGTGAGTAGCTGTGACCATCAATAAGTGGAAAGGAGGGGGTGTTATGTGTACTGGATTTCAGTAATTCAACAGAAGATACGGTCAATACACCTGAAACCACGAGGGCAGACTGCACTAGGCTAGACAAATGTGTGTTGACAGGTATCCTACTAAAATTTAAGTAGTAATTGTTTAGTCGAATACACGTATACGCATTATGTACACCTTAATTACAGATCATTTTTGCTGACATTTCCCCATGATGAATGATGATAGAAATACAAAGATCATTGTGTTTTATTATTTATAACTTTCATAGAAAGAATGCTCATGTAAAGCCCCATATATCAGCATGGTTGATTACTTATTTTACTGATTAGGAATAGTCAATTTCTGCATACAGTATAACCTTTGCACAAACGTAATGCATATATAACAGGAAAGGGGACTTGCTTTTTGGCATATTATCTAGAGCTTGTATGCTTCAGGGGTAGGTACCACATTGTCAGCCCCCTTAGTTGCTCTCCTGTGAGTCCCAAGGGGCACAAGGAGCTTAGGAGACCTGGGGAGGAGAGCTCTTTCAGTACCACACGATGGCCACATCCCCCACAGGAACTTTCGAGATTCCATAGCTGGCAGGCCCCTTTAGAATATAATATGACGTGATCCCTGTGGGTTGTGCACTGGAAATCCAGGCAGCGTGCAACCATGGCACTACATTCCATACGGAGGTGGTAAAGGGACTACAGCCAGGCTAGCGTGGTGTGACACTGGACGTCATAGCAGAGAGGGCCCTGGCGTCTGACGGCAATGAAGGAGCTGAATGTGCCTCAAGAGACTGATTGAAAGCTGGGCCCGTGGAGAGCACAGATGTCTCTGCTCATCCAGAAATTAGCTGAAAGCTGGGCCCATCGACAGAGAAGACCTCTCTGCTCATGGACAAGAAGTAATCGTATGGAACTTTACTGGTTTCTAATCCAATCTGAAGTATTTATTGAGGGCCTATTACACGCAAAACGCTAACTGCTGTGGTGGTCATGGTGGTATATATGACAAAATCTTTGCCCTCCAATGCCCATTAGCTGGTGAAGGAAAGCCTCATAAAAGAAAGCACAACAGACAGGCTCCCCTGACCTTCGTGTTACTGTAGCCCCTAGTGCCTGTCATGTTCATAATCTCTGAGTACCACCCTCATCACTTATTGCTATGAAGGAAACTCTGTAGTTTCAATGATATTTCAGTGTACACTCAAACTGTTTTTGACATGAAGACTATTTGTATCCATAAGTGATGTCTATATAATTTGTTCATTGCTTTGATTAATCTGGAGGTTTATGGCAGGTATGTGTCTTAACAGAGTTCATGTGGTAAAAATAGTTTTTGCAGTGTGAACATGTATTGCCAAACACAGCGTGTCTGAAGAAGGCCCGAACTAAAACACACACAAATGATGTGAATCTCCCCACAGCATCTCCTGGGCCGAGAAGAACAGATGAACTTCAAGTGGCTCCTTCTGTACTTACTCAAATCAATACATTTAGGAAATCATATATCATGGTAATCATGCGGGTCTTTGAATACCTGGGCTTCAAATTCCATCTGGCTCTGTAAGATAAAAGTGCTTAACTTAGTAAAAACATTAAAAAGAGACAGGACAAAACAAAGCGCTCCGCGTGTCTCTCTAAAGTCTGTAGAGACAGGCTTGTGGGGAACATGGGCATGATAGCTATTTTTCGTTATTGCCTTGATTATATCTGATATTAACTAAAGACATTTTTCTTGTTTGGATTATTGGAGGTGGGAAACCCATCTTAAATCTGGATCACTCTTTCTGGCGGTGGTCTATATAAAGGCCATGGAAAAAGGGAGCGTTGGCTTTTTACCTGCTTGCTCCCACTCTCCCTGGCCAGTTGATAGTTCCACTGAGATTCGACCTATTTCTTTGGGATCATAATGAGCACTGACAGCCAGTCGAGGCATCCAGTCTTGTGAACTAAACAACTATTGGGTTCTTGGACTTCCCATTAGGGGACAGTCATTGTTTGATAGCTGGCCCACTCTAGTAAATACAGTATACGTTCAGTCAGTTCTGTTTCTCCAGAGAACTCTGACTAATACAGATTTTGCTGCCAGGAGTGGTTCTAGAGCAATAGAGTTACAAGGATGAATTATATAAGTACCTGGAATAGACTTTCCAATTTGCTAACACCTACAGTTACTGAAGCCTTCGCTAAATGCTTGGAGAGCTCTGAAAATTCATAGTGTAAATTATTTAATAAACTTATTAAAAGAAATTCATCTGATTATCCTTATGTGCCTCTTGTGATAAGCAATGAATTTAGAGACTCTGTATATTAAACTTCTGACAATTTGTGGAAAAATTAGAATAATGATGCTCACTGGTTGCTCTTAGTGTCTGTTGACTAGACAGACAGGCCCAGGGAAAGAACGAGTTGTGTGATAAAATTAACCAACTTCTAGCATCTTAAAATATGGTGAAGGACAGAATCAGGGATAAAATTGAGTGCCTCCAAATGTGCATAAACAGTCAAAAGGCTTCTAAGTGTGCCCTGGAAGATCATCTTTTCTCCAGCAGCCACAGAGCTCAAGCTGAAGAAAATCAAACCAAGGCCCACATTTTAAGCCTGGCTAGGCTGAATTACAGGGAAAATTCAAGTCCCAGACATGGAAATGTTGGGGTTTATAGTAGAGCCATTAATTGGTGAAGAATGGGATCTTATAGCTATGTATGAGAGTATAATACCAAGGCTGACAACTTTGACACCTTAGATGCTCAAGGATTTATTTCCTCTGAGGAAGAAATCTCTCCACCCTTAGCATAAGATGTGCCATTCTCCTGACCCCTAACCTTGGGGTCAGAGACACTGCCGCTCAACTGGATGAATTTAAATGTGATGTGTTTAACTGAGCCTGAAAGTAGGCAGCCTTGAACCACCAAACACAGAGATTTTAGCTATTGTAATTGGCAGCATAGGCAAAGTAATGTCTGTAATGCCTGTCCTATAATGAGTAGCATGGGCAAATTGATTTTTATGGTGGAATAGCTTGCATGGATCGTTGATACTTGTTAATCAGCCATGATGTTCCACATAAGGAAATTAGTCCTTTATTGTATGTTAATCCAACAGTGACTTTCCCTGGAGGAGATATCAGGCAAGACAATACTGCTGTCTCCCAGGGCCCACCAATACCTCTAGACCTATGACCAGACTTAGGGCCAGTCAGGCTCCTAAATGGGAGATAAAGAGTGTAGTTCATGAGATGTGTGCTACACCACTAAAGAGCTTTGTAACTCAATTCATTCAATCAGATGTCTGGGGAATATCTATGAGAATGAATTTTACAGGTAAGGGATAACGGTGAAAGGAACATAGAACTAGATAAAGATGAATTTATTGATAACAGCCTACTGAGTGGAGATCCTAGGTTTAAAATGGAAGCTCATTGAGTTAAGGAAAAAAAAGCAAAAACAAAAACAAACAAACAAACAAACAGGGTCAACAGCCTGACTGAATAGTTACCCAAAGATTTGTCAAAGATGGCCTCCTGAAAAGGAGTCCAAGATGTCTGATATCCCTTGACTTAGTATTGATGAAGGAATTTAAGTGCTCAGGGAAATCACCATGCTAGAGTGGGCATGCTGTGTAAAATCCAACCCTCCACCATAGGAAGCCCCAGAAGATATGGCCTTCACTAACCCTTGCTATAAGATGCAAAATGATGGGAGGGGCACTAACACACTCTAACAGGTTTCTTCACCCCTTTCCTTGTGCCAGACCTTGGGGTCAGGGACTGCTGCTCAGCTGGATAAATTTATATGTAATGGGTTTAATTGAACCTGAAAGTAGGCAGCATTGAATCACCAAAGAAGGTGATTTTAGTTATTGTAATTGGCAGCATAGGCAATGCAATGTCAGTAATGCCTGTTCTATAATGAGTAGCATGGGCAAATTGATGTTTATAATGGAAGAGCTTGTATGGATCTTTGATACTGGTTAATCGGTCATGATGTTTTCAGTCATAAGACAGATAAGAAGTCCACTGCAGTTTTATTTGATCTGTATACCAAGAAAATGTCTCAAACAAATGAAAGAAAGGTTGTCAGATTGTGGCAAGAGGCCTGTGAACCACTTTCCAGACTCGAGCCAGTTTGCAGAAGCAGAACCCTTTGAATGAAGGAATAGCCGGGTGTTTGTTAAAATACCTAAGAGTTTTACTGTTAACTTTTCTCAAATGCTTCCTCAGAGGGACATATGACCTTTTTATACAGGGAAAAAGGAGACAATCAGACTTTTAAGGGTGTATTAGGTACTGGTTCTGAATTGACACGAATTCTGGGAGAGCTCAAGAAACATCGTGCCAATCACTATAGGTTTATGGAGGTTAGATGATTAATGGAGTTTTGACTGAAGTACAACTCACAATAGGTCTAGTACATCCCCAAACTCATTCTGTAGTTATTTCCCAGTTCCAGAATGTATAATTGGGCTAGAAATACTTCAACATTGGCAGAATTCTCACAGTGGTTCTCTGACCTGTGAAGTGAGGGTTATTATGGCTGGAAATTCCAAATGGAAGGCATTGGAGTTGTCTCTACCAGGGATGAAGAGCATAAGACAGTATTGCATCTCATGAACTCCAGAAGTTAGTGCCACCATTAAGGACTAAGATGCAGGGGTAGTAGTTTACTTCTTCCCTTAACTCTCCTATCTGGCCAGGGCTATGGTGGCAGAGATGGGAGTTATGCATGGATTTCCACTCACCAGGACTGACCTGGCTACAGCTACAGCTACAGCTGAGTGACAAATCTGCCAACAGCAAAGACCAACCTGAGTCCCCAACATAGCATTATTCCCGGGGTGATCAGACAGTGCCCTACTGGCAGGTTGACTACATTGGACCACTTCCTCCATGGAAAGGACAATACTTTACAAACTAGAGCTCAGAGAATGAGGATATTCATAAAATGCATTAATTGTCTGTTCAAACCCCAACACATCCTTACCACTGTCTAGAATGCAGGCTGTGGAGGCACTTCTGACTTTATATCTAACCAAGTCCAAGTGAGGCTCTCCTGTAACATACTTCATGCTCCCTGCCTTCCTCCATTTCTTTCATTAACATGTTGTTTCCTTTGCCTGGATTACTTCTGAATTTTTACATGCCTGTTTTTCCTTTGAAACCTAGTTCTTTGGATCTCTTACGATCTAGATGGCGTGGATGTTCTTTCTCCTGACTGTCACCATACTTTACATAGCTCTCTATGGTCAGGAGCACCAGCATATCCATCCTGGCATGCCACTAATTAGTCAAGTTAACTTTGATAAAATGCATTAATCCTCTGAGTTTGGCTCCTCATCTATAAACTGGATTATATAAGATATTGTGTTTATGACACTGCCTGTCATAGTAAAAGCAATATGCAAATCATTAAATGTTGTTATAACAATATAAAACTTATCCTAATGTTGTGCAAGAATTTTCATGTTGCTTTTTGTCCTCCAGTGAAGCCACTAAGCCTTTCCTCTGGGTTTTTGGCACACATTGTTCCTTATTAATTCTTTCTGACATCGATTAATGCATTTAAGAATGAGGAAAACATACTAGTGGGCTGTGACAGTAGTCTAAGACAAACTGTCATTTCCGTGGGGGGTCTTTCTATGCTCTTATTCTTCCGACTACCATACACTAAGCTGAGAAGTCCTGGGTTGGCTGTTGCAAATTCTGTTTTGATTTTTTTAGAAAAGGAATATTGGTACCTTTGGATCAGGCAGGCATGGCCCAAAGGCTTCCAGCAGGAGAGTCTCTTCTCTCACGGCGCTCTCATAGTCTGTAAAGGACAGCTTCCCATCATGGTCTTTGTCCTGAGAGGTGAGTAGCCTGGGTCAGTGAGCACATGGCATTTTTGCTGCAAAGGCGCTCTCTTTTTCACAGTCAGGTGGTAGGAGGAGAGAGAGACTTGGGTGGGACATTGAAAAATAAAGCTTTGTAGTGTGTGGAGCACAGGTTGTCACTGAGCACGGAATCAAGAGCCTCCCACATGCTAGGCAAGTGCTCTGTCACCGTCCCACTCCTGCAGCTCGAAGAGAATATTCTCCAAAGAAGCCAACTTTTATTTAACTAAGCAGAGTGCTCCAAATCATCGTCACTGAGTTCTTACTTCTATCCCACACATTGCCTATAAGCTTGAATATAAAACTTTTAAGTTACTCATACTTACCATTTTCTTAAGCGTAATTTCAACCAAATCTTTGATCCCTTCATCAGGGTCTTCTTCAGAGGGCTGCTTGAGAAGGCTGTTCTTCAGCATGTGGAACATCTCCTCCTTTGAAATGAAGCCGTCCCCATTCAGATCAAACACTTCAAAGCAATCTAAAAAAATTGATATATATATATCACATATATAATATATAGTATTATATTAGATGTTTGTATATTTGAGATCATCACTAAGGTGCCATTGTCTTCTGACAAAGCAGTCAGGGTGGAGGCATATCTTATTGTTGCACTACTGGGCTGCAAGCTTGATGCTAGTTGACTTTCATGGGAATGATGGTGTATACTAGGGAAATATCCCCATCCCTCTTTCCATGCTTCTTTAGCAGACTGTGAAAAGAAACTCCTAGGAGCAATGATATGAGCTTTGCTGACCGGAGACATGGAAAAGCAATTGTGTGTTTACGTTAACTTTATTAAATGAAGTATGACTCCATTAGTTGACAATCATTTAAAAAGTAGAAAATTTAAATTAGGCTTTCTGGTTTAATATTTGTTATTGAGCATTGTAAACTAGAATGTGAATGTATCCATGCATGGTTAGAATGTAGATTACAATCTGTACTGCTTCCTTTCATTCCTTAATGGTTTGATTTTCTTCTTAATTACTATAATCACATTCTTTATCGACTTTATTTGCTCCATGAAAGGCCAGAGAGGATTCACCAACCAACCAACCTACCAGAACCCACTTTACTGGTGGGTTGGAGACGGTGATTTAAAAAGCTTTTGCTATGTTTGTTGTATCGTATAAACTAGCAGTTCATTCGCAGGCTTACATTTCATTTTTTCTTCTAAAGTCCCTCGAAGAAACAGTGATAATCCATGAATCCACTCAGATACACTTACACAGCCATCATTGTCTCTATCAAAACCTCGAAATACTAAAAAAGACACAATGTAACATTAGTGTTGGATGAAATAATATAGTCATATTATATTTAATATTTAAGCTTTTGATATTTAAGGTTCTTAATAAAAATAATTCTGTGTTTTTATTCCTCAGGGCAAGCAATGCTGTTACATTGTAGTTGTGCTTCTTAAAAATTATGTAGTATCTCTAGCATGTAAGAAAATTTAGGTAGAAATAGAACACAATGCGGCCTTTTATATGAAGTATGAAAACTAGTTATGTTCTCTTTCTAAACAACAGAAGGAATAGGAGACTCATTCCTTCTCCAAACATTTTGGAAGATTAAAATACATTCAAATGACTTCAGTAGTCAATGACTTAAGGAAGAAATGAAAGTCTTCCTAAAATACAATGAAAATGACCACACGACATACCCAAATTTATGGGACACCATGAAATTATTGTTAGAAGGAAAATTCATAGCAATAAATTCCTACATAAAAAAGCTGGAAAAAACCCACACTAGTGAGTTGACAGAACACCTGAAAACTCTAGAACAGAAAGATGCAAACTCACCCAGGAGGACTAGACAATAGGGAATAATCAAATTGAGAACTGAAATCAACAAAATAGAAACAAAGAAAATAATATAAAGAATCAATGAGACAAAGAGTTGGTTCTTCGAGAAAATCAACAAAATAGAAAAACCTTTATCCAAACCAACCAAAAGACAGAGAGAGAATTCAAATTAAATAAATCAGAAATGAAAAGGGGGACATAACAACAGACAAGGAAGAAATTTAGAGAATCATCAGGTCACACTTCGAAAACCTGTACTCCACAAAAACTAAAAAACTTAAAGGAAATGGACAATTTTCTCACCCAGGAGGACTAGACAATAGGGAATAATCAAATTGAGAACTGAAATCAACAAAATAGAAACAAAGAAAATAATATAAAGAATCAATGAGACAAAGAGTTGGTTCTTCGAGAAAATCAACAAAATAGAAAAACCTTTATCCAAACCAACCAAAAGACAGAGAGAGAATTCAAATTAAATAAATCAGAAATGAAAAGGGGGACATAACAACAGACAAGGAAGAAATTTAGAGAATCATCAGGTCACACTTCGAAAACCTGTACTCCACAAAAACTAAAAAACTTAAAGGAAATGGACAATTTTCTGGATCACTTGCCAAAATTAAATCAAGACCAAATAAGCAAAATAAACAGGCCCATAAATACCAAAGAAATAGAAGCAGTCATCAAAAGTATCATAATAAAAAAAAGCCCAGGGCGAGATGGTTTCAGGGCAGAATTCTACAAGATTTTCAAAGAAGAACTAATATTAATACTTCTCAAATTGTTCCACAAAATTAAAGCAGAAGGAACATTGTCAAACTCTTTTTATGAGACTACAATTACCCTGATACCCAAAACCACACAAAGACATTACTAAGAAAGAGAATTACAGACCAATCTCCCTCCTGAACATTTATGCAAAATACTCAATGAAATACTGGCAAGCCAAATCTAAAAACACATCAGAAAAGTCATCCATCATGATCAAGTCAGCTTCATACCAGCAAAGCAGGGATGGTTCAACATACAAAAATCTGTCAATGAAATCCACCATATAAACAAACTGAAAAAAAAAACCCTCATCTCATTAGATACTGAAAAAGCCTTTGACAAAATACAACATCCCTTCATGATAAGGTCTTGGAGAGAGCAGGGATATAAAAGGAACATACCTAAACATAATAAAGGCAATATATATCAAACCAACAGCCAACTTCAAACTAAATGAAAAGAAACTCAAAGCGATCCCATTGAAATCAGGAACAAGACAAGGTTGACCACTCTCTCCATATAAATTCAACATAGTACTTGAGGTTCTCTCTAGAACAATAAGACAACAAAAGGAAATCAAGAGGATACAAATCGGAAAAGAAGTCAAACATTCACCATTTGTTGATGATATGACAGTTTACATAATGGGCCCCAAAAATTCTACAAAGGAACTTCTACAACTCATAATTACTTCCAGTAGTGTAGCGGGATACAAGAGTAACTAACTTGAAAAAATCAGCAGCCCTCCTATACAGAGATGATAAATGGGCTGAGAAAGAAATCAGAAAAAACATCACCCTTCACAATAGCCACAAATAATATAAAATATCTTCGAGTAACTCTAACCAAACAACTGGAAGATCTGTATGACAAGAACTTTAAATCTTTGAAGAAAATAATTGAAGAAGACACCAAAAAAAATGGAAAGATCTCCCATGTTCTTAGTTAGGTAGAATTAACATAGTAAAAATGACAATCTTACCAAAATCAATCTATAGACTCAATGCAATGCCCATCAAAATCCCAGCAAAATTCTTCACAGACCTTGAAAGAACAATCAACTTCATATGGAAAACCCAAAAAGTCCAAGATAGCCAAAACAATTCTGTACAATAAAGGAACTTCTGAAGGCATCATAATCCCTGACTTCAAACTCTATGACAGAGCTACAGTACTGAAAACAATCTGGTATTGGCATAAAAACAGACAGGAGGACATTGGTACTAAATCGAAGACACAGATATCAATCCACATACCTATGAACACCTGATTTTTGACAAAATAGGGAAAAATATAAAATGTAAAAAGGAAAGCATATTCAGCAAATGATGCTGGCATAACTGGATATCAACATGTAGAAAAATGAAAATAGATCCATATCTATCATCATGCACAAAACTCAAGTCCAAATGGAACAAAGACCTCAGCATAAAACCAACCACACTGAACCTCATAGAAGAGAACGTGGGAAGTACACTTGAATGCATTGGCACAGGAGACCACTTCCTAAATACAAAACCCCAGTAGCACAGGCACTGAGAGCAATAATTAGTAAATGGAACCTCCTGAAACTAAAAAGCTTCTGTAAAGCAAAGGGCACGGTCAATAAGACAAAACAACAGCCTACATAATGGGAAGATATCTTCACCAACCTCACATGGGACAGAGGGCTGATCTAAATACACAAAGAACTCAAAAAATTGGTCATCAAAAGAACAAATAACCCAATAAAAATTGGGGTACAGACCTAAAGAGAGAACTATCAACACAGTAATCTAAAATGGTTGAAAGACACTTAAGTAAATGCTCAACATCTTTAGCCATCAGAAAAATGAAAATCAAAACAACTCTGAGATTCCATCTTACACCTGTAAGAATGGCCAAGATCAAAAACACTGATGACAACTTATGCTGGAGAGGTTGTGGGGTAAAGGGAACACTTCTGCATTGCTGGTGAGAATGCAAGCTGGTACAGCCCTTTGGACGTCAGTGTGGCAATTTCTCAGAAAATCAGGAAACAACTTACCTTAAGACCCAGCAATACCACTTTTGGGTATAGACCCAAAGGATGATCAATCATACCACAAGGACATGTGCTCAATTATGTTCACAGCTCCTTTGTTTGTCATAGGCAGAACATGGAAACAACCTAAATGTCCCTCAACTGAAGAATGGATAAGGAAAATGTGGTACATTTACACAATGGAGTACTACACAGCAGAATGAAATAATGACATCTTGAAATTTGCAGGAAAATGGATGGATCTAGAAAACATCATCTTGAGTGAGGTAATCCAGACCCAGAAAGACAATTATCATATGTACTCACTCATAAGTGGCTTTTAGACACAAACCAACAACAAAAAAACTGCCTACAATCACAATCCCAGAGAACCTCGACAGCAAAGGAGATATACATGCATCTAATGTACATGATAAGATGAGAAGTAGACAAAGACAAAGTCTCCTGCGTAATTTGGGAACATGGGAACCATGGGAGAGGGTAGAAGGGGAGGAGAGAGAAAAGGAGGGGAACAGATAATAACAGATAATTGTTCAATAAAAACAATTATATATGTATGTGTATATATAGGCCACTAAAAATAATACATTCAAATGTAATTGGGAATGTAAAACATGAGATTCCTCCAAAGAGCATGACCTTTGTTAATTACAGTTGAATTTGACAGTTCCCATCATATGTGTATCTTACCTCTGTCCATAATCATGTCATCTGTCATTCCAAATGTCACATGCAGGATGTTCCGAAATGCATTACGATCTAGTCCAATGACTACCCCTGGCCTTTCTGTTACTTCTCCCACCAAGTTATAGAAAAGCGTTATAAGGCAGTTCACTTCAGATTTATTAACTGTAAAAGATCAAAATGGACACATAACAAAAGCACGCTTTAAAATTGTAAGTATTCAAATATTGCATTAATGAGTTTATGTGCTCAAAATCAAAAGCATCTGATGCTTGGTTACCATTTTCAAGTCTCCTATATTCTGAGCCTTAGAGCTAAAGGAAGATGATGCCGAAGTTATATTATCCACTAACAGAAGGCAAATTACTCATTCTGGAGCCAAATTGAAATAGATCCCATCACAGTTAGAATAAAAGAAGATAGCAGTCGTGTGATCTAAATGACTGTGGTGTCAGAGTCAAGACTTCATGAGTGCAGACAGGAGGGCAAGTCACAGTTGCATTGTTTCAGTCAGCTGGCAACAACCAGCGTTTGATGGTAGTGTTTATGGCAGTTACAAACAAGCATTTCCCTGGAAATTTAGCCTCCTAAACATCTGTGTAATCATTCTCATTTCAGTTTAGGCTTAATAAATTTATAAGGCAGAACCTTGAAATCAGAGCTATTTTCTAATAAAGGAATTTTAAGCATATTCTACCAACCAGTGTGATTTTTCTCCAAGTTGTGTGAACATTAATGAGAAACTCTTCTGGATTATTTTTGCGGAAAGATTTCTTTTTAATTTAATTCTCTCTCTCTCTCTCTCTCTCTCTCTCTCTCTCTCTCACACACACACACACACACACACACACACACAAAGTAGCAGCAACACAGGCAGCATCATCAACAATAGCAAATAAGACATTTGAAAATATAGTTTACCAAAAGTATGTAAGTGAATTTAAATGTGAAATGTGAGTGGGAGATGGGGAAAGTTTATTTAAAACCGGAAAAAATATAGGTGAATACTTTCATACATAAAAACAATGTCTATGTGTAAGAAAAAGTAGAGAAATTGTACCCTGTCCTACATGTCACAACAGACAGACGGTGGTTCCTGGTTTTAAGAATCACATTTTAAGAGAAAACTTAAAACTTTGGAAAATGAAAAAAGAATGAGTAAATAGTATAAAATAATATAATGATTAAGATTTTTAAATGAGCTGCCAGTTATTGTGAAAACAGCAAGTGACACAGTGTGATTCAATGATCCAGTGATCACACACGAGAGAGAGAGAGAGAGAGAGAGAGAGAGAGAGAGAGAGAGAGAACTGAGAGCAGGTACTTAGCCAAGTACCTATGTACCAGTGTTCACAGTGACATCATTCAGAAAAGTCAAAAGGAGCAATGTTCAGTGACAGATGAGTGGTTAAACAAAATGTGGTATAGCCATTCCGTGTAATACTGGCTTTTAAGGGTTATAATACAAGATGCATTGGCTTTAAGTGAAAAACTGAAGGAAGAAAGTATGTCTATGTCCTCATGCTGATGCCACAGTTTGGAAAACGTAATGCAAAGGGAACCACTTCTGCCTCTCAATTCACTATCAGACCTGCTTCTCATCTGCAAAATGAATGTCTTTAACAGGCATGCAAGATTCAGAGCTTGAAGCTGACTTTCAAAGAAAAGATACACTTCTGCCCTACACTTTGCACAGAGACAGACCTAGCACAGAGATGTCCAAGCACAGAGATGGACCTAGCACAGAAATGGACCTAACACAGAGATAAGCCTATTACAGAGATGGACCCAGTACAGAGATGGACCTATCACAGAGATGGATCTAGTATAGACAGGGGCTTAATACAGAGATGGGCTTAGTACAGAGAGAGATGGACCTAGTATAGGGATGGACCTAGCACAGAGATGATGGATATGATACAGAGACAGACCTAGCACAGAGATGTTCAAGCACAGAGATGGCCCTAGCACAGAAATGGACCTAACACAGAGATAGACCTATTACAGAGATGGACCTAGTACAGAGATGGACCTATCACAGAGATGATGAACCTAGCACAGAGATCTGGACCTAGTACAGAGATGACCTAGAACAAAGATGACCTAGAACAGAGAGAGACCTAGTGCAGAGATGGTCCTAGGGATAAAGAATTCTTAGGCCCCAAACAAAAATCCCCGAGGTGTCTTTCTGTTTCTTTCCTAAAACTGGGTGAAAGTATATCTCTGTAACAGGGACAACAGACAACTGGGCTTAGGTCCCCTGTTTCACAAATGTGTTTATGTGCATCCTAATCTCAGGTTCCTGACTTTCTGCAAACTGAAAGCTGTCCAAAGGTAGGCTGGGAGGAAAGTTAGATAACCCCACCCCCGGACTTGTCCAAGCAGAAAATAATTACAATTTTTTTTAATTTCTTTTGAAATACAGGGAAACTGAAGAAGCATGTTTATGGACCTAAGTGGGGATTAACTAGAAGGTAAAATATGGTTCCAATTATATGATGTATCTACTCCTGTCAAATTCATAGTGGGGAATTAGTGTTGAGTTGGTACAGGGTTTACTAGGGAAAAATCAAAGTTCCTGAGATTGCCGATCATAACAGTTGCATGACCTTGTGCATGTACAGGGTCCCCTCCTGTGTGAAGTTGCACCTCACCTATTATAGTGCAAGAATAATGAATGAAATAAAAAAGACCAACTTTTATTACAGGATATTGTATTTTCTTGTGTGTAGCTAACCTAACCTACTGTCTAAGTGTGTCTCATTTATAACTTAAAATATGATAGCTATTTGTGTACAAGGAAAATCACGGGATACATAGTGCTCAATATCTCTAATAGCAGGCATCTTGAACTTCACCTTCAACCCATGGAAAAGAGAACTTAAGTTCTTCTGAACTTAATGCCAAGAACCATACATATAAAACTGTTAAAATGCTAAATCTAAAATATAAAACCACTATATATGAGTGTGAAAAGCTCCAGAAATTCAGAACTATTTGTGGCTAGGGAAGGACTGTGCGAACAACTGCAGATGTTGATGGGCCAGGTTTCCGTCTCAGGACAAAAGTCACTTTAGTGATAGTAGCCTCATCAATGACTGAGATGAAAAGTTTCTTGCTGATGTTTAAAACCTTTTGATTTCTTTGTATGTGAGCACTGCCTCTACATCACTGCTGTCTCTCCCTGTTCTCCTTACCTCCTCCCTTCTCATGACTTCCACTTCCTTCCAAATTCATGAATTCATGACCTTTTCTTTTTTATTGTTTGCACGCACACACACACACACATATACACACACACATATGCATACACAGCCACTGAATAGACTTGTGCATGTGTCTAGCGCTGACCTCCTGGGGATTGGAGAACCTATATAGGAAGTGGTTCCTGGTCCCTGAATAAAACTGATTCTTCTTCTCTCAGCAGCCATTGAACACCTGTGTTTTTACTTTTTTAAATCTACGAGTAGGACCCATTTCCTCTGTACACGTTGGCATGTAAACTGATGTTGTCAGATGTTGATCTTGTTCACCAAATGATTTTGTTGATATTTTATGGCTGCATTTTCCTGGTCATGTCTAAGCGTACTATCCAGTAGCAGGCATTCTGGTCTTCTGTCTCTTCAAAGCTTTCTGCTCCCTCTTTTGTGATTTTCCTTGAGCCTTAAAGTAAGGGTTATGTTGCAGAGTCACTATTTCTTTATATTATTAAAAGTTGATATCAGGGTAACTGTCCAAATCAGGAGCAGAAGGAGAGAGAGCACGAGCAAGGAACTCAGGACCGGGAGGGGTGCACCCACACACTGAGACAATGGGGATGTTCTATCGGGAACTCACCAAGGCCAGCTGGCCTGGGTCTGAAAAAGCCTGGGATAAAACCGGACTCGCTGAACATAGCGGACAATGAGGACTACTGAGAACTCAAGAACAATGGCAATGGGTTTTTGATCCTACTGCACGTACTGGCTTTGTGGGAGCCTAGGCAGTTTGGATGCTCACCTTACTAGGCCTGGATGGAGGTGGGGGTTCCTTGGACTTCCCACAGGGCAGGGAACCCTGATTGCTCTTTGGGCTGATGAGGGAGGGGGACTTGATTGGGGGAAGGGGAGGGAATTGGGTGGCGGGGAAGAGATAGAAATCTTTAATAAATAAATAAATTTATATAAAAAAGTTGAGGATCTCTGAAATAGTCTCCATCAGTTGGAAAAAGAGACTTCTTTAGTGGGGGGAGGGGGAGAGAGAGAGAGAGAAAGCGAGAGAGCGAGAGAGCTACATTTATCTGTGGCTCTAAAAGTATTTAGCGTACAGTTAGAAATTATACTGGTTTAAGCAAGTGGCAGCTATAAGTTCTCTGGTAGGGCCCATGATTCCCTCCAACCATGGTTAGCTGGCCAGGTTTACAGTACCAGACATGAATTCTCTCCTATTTAGTAGACCATAAGTTGAATTAAAAAGCTGGTGGTTGACTCCAAGATAAAATTGCCACCATTGCAACATTGGGGGTTTCATGGAGGTCTGGTCCTTGTCCTGGCTTACAGGGTTTCTGGGTAGGACTACTTATAGCTCCTTTCCTAGTGGCTTACAGATCACTTTTTAAGATATCTTAAGAGCTAGTCCTCAGGGAGGAAACTTCCAGGTCAACTCCATCTCAATTTCTACAAATTCTGTGCCTGAGTGTGTGGTGTCTTCCACAATAGAATCTCACGGTCAAGTTCTAGAAGGCACTTAAAGGCAAAGGCTATATTCTGTTCTGTCATGGGAATTTCGTGTATCCCCCGACCAACAACTTGAGGGAAGGTTTCCCATCCCTGCCACTGAATTTTGTGTTAGATAGTGCATGGCTCTTTGGGGTGGGGAATCACCCTTACTGTATATACCATAACTCATGAGTGCTTGTGTGTGTACATATATAGGTATACATATATTTATTGAACAGTTAAAGTGTGTTCATAAGACAATGTTTTCCTGTAACTTTTTCAAACATTTTTAGTAGTATTTATCTTTTCTCCCTTCCTTTCCTCCCGTATTACCTTCCTGCCCCCTGAATTCTCCACATATTACATGCAGTCTAGGGAAATCCCATTTGGCTGTTCATCTTTTCAGGGCTGCTACACGGGCCCAGAAGTTCTCATCTGTAGCTGGTGGATTAACTAGCTGCCCACCTAAAATCCTTTCTTCTCTGGTTCAACACAATGTGTCCTTCATTCTCTCTGTCATCATCTGCGATTTAGAGACATTTTAAATCAGCACAATGTCCATGAGCTGTATCTGTTTGAACATACCACTTACTTGTCACTAATAATAACTAAAGTTTCTAGGATTTATATAAGAAATTATTTAAAATCAAAAATCAAGAGTTTTATTTTTCAGACGTATTTTTTACTGATCATTTAAAATCTATTCTGTTTTTTTTTTTTTTTTTGTTTTTGTTTTTGTTTTTGTTTTTGTTTTTGTTTTTCGAGACAGGGTTTCTCTGTGGTTTTGGAGCCTGTCCTGGAACTCACTCTGTAGACCAGGCTGGCCTCGAACTCACAGAGATCCGCCTGACTCTGCCTCCCGAGTGCTGGGATTATAGGCGTGCGCCACCACCGCCCGGCTAAAATCTATTCTGAAGAGGTTAGGGTTTAGCTCAGTGGTAGATTGCTTGCATAGCTCGCTCAATCCTCAGTACTGCAAATATAACACAAAAGGAAAACGGCTTATTTTTGAATAGCTCTCAGGGTTTGCTAGTGAAGCATTGTGAACTTACTGAACAGACTCCATCAGTTGAGCACTGTGTGTGCCAGGTATTAATGTGCATTCGTCAGAAATGTCCACACTCGTTTTAGAAACACCAGCTATTCTCCCAGAGATGAAAGCATTGCAGGAAAACAACCAAAGAATACAATCTCTATCAAATTAATAAACACCCTGACTGGCTGGATTCCTTTTCCTGAGGGTTTTTTTTTTTAATACAGTGTAACAGTATATCTTAATTTTCAGTTCTGGTACTCCCCTTTAGCATCATTTCTCACACATCATATCAGGCACCAGTGATGTAAAAGAAACATTTGTGTCTAGCGTCAACCTCTTGGGGCTCCATTAGAAGTTCATTTCTACACCTTCGTTCAGCAGAGATAGTTTGACTAGGCGGACCTCTCCTGTTTTCCTCAAGCGACCAATAGCTTTTCAATCCTCACACAGCTTCTAAGTTCACACACCAGGCAACAGTGCCCTCATCCCAACCACATCCACGCATGGCTTCTTACGCCTAGAGCAACACTGATTTTCAGCCTGAGTACAGTGCTCTGGTGTCCGGCCCCTCGGAGGATTCCCTTCACCTTTGGACCCCACTAGCAGTTGGAAATGAGTGTCTGAAACTGGGGACAGATTCGTTACTATCTTGAATTTGCTCCGCAATGCAGGTTTCAAACAGAACATTGCTAGAGAGAGCTTCAAGTGTCTTTCTGAAAGGTTTCCGGGACTGGATGACTGTGTTCCCTTATGGAGCTCTTGGTAACTCCCAGAGCCTAGCCCTCACAGGTTCATTTGCTGGAGAGAGAGCTAGAAAGTAGGTGAAGGTGCTATACATTGGCCCTGCTACTTTCTTGTTCTGGAGTTTTTCTAGAACTTTTTCAACCCTTGTAAAGCTAAAGTCACATGCCTCCCATCTCACTTCTTTAACATAAAAGCAAATAAAGAGAGTCTTTGAATTTAGCGAGTGTGTCAGGAGCACAGGCAGCATCCACAAGATGCTTGCGATCTAGTTCTAAAGATCCAGGGACTGAATGAGGAGCTGACGCCCCAGAGAGGGATTCTCTTCCAGATTTCACTTGAGGAGTAGTGTGCAGGGGACCTTGTGGTGGAAGCAGGAAGGAGACACTAGGTAAGAAAGAGACCTGGCCCGGAAGTCATGGGTACTCCAGCATTCGGTTCTTACTTACAATGCTTGCAACTTTTGGTTAAGGTGTCCGTCAACTTCTGCAGCTTCTTTCGGTTCATGGCGAGAGTTCATATAATGAGGTCTCAGTGTCATCTGGAGCCTAGAGCCAGGTCCCTCATGAGCTCCAGGCTGAGGCAGCCTAGTGCAGACTCGTGGCTCTGAGCATTTGCGTACCTAACAGACAGTGTGGCCATGGCAACGCCTTAGAGGGCCACCAATTGGCTCCTGGGGGCGGGCGCACAACACATAAATGAGGCTCCTGCACACAGAGGAGCCATGGCAACGGCTGGGCCTGTGGCCGATTGGCTCCTGCGCTGGAGACTGACTAGTAGGGCCCAGAAAGGCCTGTGACCCCCCCCCTCCCCCCCACAGTCCAAGTTGCAGAGTTCCAACCTGGCGCTTTGCATACTGTGTTGATTGCCAGGTTGGGATTTTTAATTTCCACTTGTCACTCTCTTTTCGTTTCACAGCGCCTCAGGACTGCGGCGTAAATAATCAGAAGTCTAAGAGTAAGGTGTACACATTATGTAGGAGACATTTTGGGTAATGAGCACAGGAAGAATTGAGGGTCCTCCAGGAGCTCTGTGGAGCGCTAGAGGGAAATAGGTGTGTCGTTCCAACAATTGTCAGGTGGCTTCTTGCTTGAGTGTGAAGAGCTTTTTCTTCAGGACTAATTCACCACTGAAAGTGAGTTTGAACAATTAGACTTGAACTGTGTTGCTGAGAAAGTAGACACCCCCTCTCCCTGTCCCGCCCAGGGCCTTTTTTATCGCGCTCTCTCTCTTCCCCTCTCCTTCTGCCTCACTCTTTGGAGGATGAGGCTTTCGGTCAAACTTGCAAAATGCCACTGTCAAATTGTAGTTTGTTAATTCAAGTTACATTCTTTTATATGGAGATAGGTTCCACTTAAGTGTGGGGTTTAACCCAAGCTTGCCTTTTAAATATATTTCCCACTAAAATTGATGCTGGCTCTGTTAAAAAAAAAAATTTATACATCTGTAGTACTGCGGTACTTTCTGCTTTACTCAGTAACTGATGGGATGCTCTGTTTGATTTTAGACCCAAATGAACGGGCTAGCTCAGCATGAACCTTCGGAGAGCAACGGCTGGGAAATCACAGTAGTTTATTGAAAACATAATGTCCTTTCCAAACTGAAAATAGAAAAATACTGCCAAGAATAAGAAACAACCCAAAATGAAATAGTTCCAGTGTTGAAGTGCCTGGTTTTCTTTTACAGTTTTATTTGTAGAAATAATTACAATGCTGTTTGAAACCAGAACCAAGAACCCCTGGTAACTTCAGGGACTGTGCCTCCCTAAAGAAAACTGAGAACTGTTAACCAATATGAGATGAACACCAATGCCCTCACATCTAGAAGCTGGGAAACTCTGAGATAGCAGAAGCAAACGAGAAGGGCTGGAGATATTGTGACCTTTCATCCTATAAAACTGTAGAATCTTTCTCTACATTTCTGAGTTGAAGTTGTGAAAGCAAGGGAGTGGGTGTGGCTGTCAGTAGTTACTGGCATAATCCACAGGCATCTGAGGTATCTTAGGGAACAGCTTTCACTGATGGTGAACACATTACGAAGTGTGCCTGGGCATCATGGAAAGGAGCACACATTGGATGCCTTTTGGAGGCACATTTAGATCAGATAATCACGTATTTCAATCGGAACCATAATGGTCATTTTCCCTAAAAGTGAAAAAAATAATGTAGGATCAACACTGGAGCCTGTTGAGATTAAAAATAGGCAAGTGCTTACAGCAGACAAACATCTCTTATCTACTGAGCAGCATTTGAAAGAAACTGCCTCTGCTTCCTAAAATCCTATTGGGTTAAAAAAGATCTGCATCAGTTGTGTGTAGCTTGCTTCTCTGAGGTGTGGAGACAATCAGCAATTCTTTGTCAAGGTAAGTATGTATTTATTTGAGGCAGGGCTTGTCAACATATGAATATAATTTAAACCACCCATTACATTTTGTGAAAAAATAAAATCTATATCTTTTACAACACATTGCAGGCCTCTAATGATATTTAAGACAAAATCAAAATTTCTATTTGTAATTTTTAGTTGCTTATGATGAACAGACTCAGAGCTGCCTTCCCCTGGAGCTTCGTAAGAGTAAGTCATTAAGTGTGAATGCTTAAATTAGATCAAGTCAGCTGATAACACAACAAAAGATTGTGTCTCATTTGGGTTGGACACTGATTTTGCTGTGCACGAAATGATTACGAAACTCTCTAAAATTCAAGAAACTTTGAGATGGATCCTTTCTTAAATAAAAAGTATACTTAAGTGATTATTAATGCTATCTTGTTTCCTTTACTTTGGAGTTACCTTGACTTACTATTCTTTGGAATGTTGCCATGATAAATAGCTTGGACCTTGAATTGATAGAAGTGTTTTTCTTAACAAGGACCTTTTGCGATGAAGGCACTTGGAAGCTCTTTGGGAAGTGACATCTGAGAATTGGTGTCCAGCTATGGTGTATTATAAATATATTACGGAATTGCTTTAATAGAAGGAACAGAGAGCTTGATTGTCTGCATTATTTAGCTCAATTTTACTAATTTATTTTATAGAGATAGTGGTTTAATTTGGAGTTAAGTTTAGCTAGCTCTTGGAGTTGAGTATCCACTGCCATTTCTGGTCATTTTGTTTTTTGCTCTGATGCTGTGATGGTAGTCCCTTTTTAAAATATTGAACATTAGAACTGGATACATGTCATCTCTGCCCACTAGAAATCACAGTTCTTCATATGGATCCTTTGATATTCCTATGAAATCCTCTTATCCTCTTGCCAAGGAGCAGTAACTTTCTAACACTGAGCACTAAACTGTAAATTGCCCAATGCTCTATATTCTCCATTCCAATATGGAAGTTTATCTTAATCAGTATCTTTATGTGCACTTGTCTAGCCTTTGTCAATACTTCTGAAGTTTAAAAGTTTAAAAACCAGTTTGGGTTTGTATTAACAGAATCCAGAGGGAATAATGTGCAATGAGAGGGAAAAATGTTGCCTCCTGGTTCTCCGAGGCAGCTGCTTGTGGAGCACTATAGATACTGTGGGGGAGCATCTCAGAGGGAAGGATTACTACCTGCAGTGGAGTTCTTAAAGGAAGCAGGGCACTAAGGAAAGTTTTCTTTCAAACTGCCCTTGCCCCAAAGTACACACTGGTATTAATACAGTCAAGACATTTTTTTTCTTTTTTCATAATCAAGTGATCAGTAGGTAAAATTAATGCCTAAGGTTTACCAAGGTAAGATTCTTACAGCTTACATGTAACCTAAAACGTTGTAAATAAAGATGCGGTGTGTGGTAAGTAGCTATCAGATGATTCGATCAGCAGTATGAGTAAAGACACTGGGTTCTCTAAAATTGTAGGAACTCACTTAGGAATCCAACAGGACTGTGAGACTGACATCTACACAGGCTGCACCACAAGCTCCTGTATCAAGACTTATGGTAATTGTGCAATTTCCATAGTTACCATGGGGACAGTAGGTACTCTCAGTTTCCTGACAGAATTCCGGAACGCTGTAGCCTTCTAATGAAAACTAGGAAGGTGGTCACACCCCTCCTCTATATATTTGTAATACATTTTCCATACTTCCCCAAATTTCATCACTGTCAGGCTTGTAAGTCTTTTTCTGGTCAATCTATAGATACTTAAAGGCTGGTCAGGGCTGGAGAGATTGCTCAGTGGTTAAGAACACTCACTGCTCCTCCAAAGGACCTGGGTTAAGTTCCCAGCACCCACCTGGCAGCTCACAACTATCTGTAGCTCCAGTTGGAGGGAATCCAGAACCCATGGCAAAAACATCAAAACAAATTTTTAAAAACGTAAAGGCTGGACCAGCAAGGTAACCCTTAGATCATAACATTCACCAGGGACCTGGATCCATTCAGAACAGACTTCAGAAAAAAGCCTGTGACTGTCAGAATGTGGACACTTTTGGACAGGCAAGGGGAGTCGGCATTTGCGTACTAACATTTGGGGGTTCCTCTTACTTTATCTGTGAGCACAAGCTTAAGAGAACTTGGATTTCCTTTCTCTTTTGTTTGAGCTGGGGGTTGAAAGTGGGGCCTGTGCATATCAAGACAATGCTGACTTTCACTTCTTGAAGACTGTTTCCTACTTGATGACTCTTAAGAATACAGTCACAATTTGCATCATCAGCACTCCCACTGTTCCTTCACTAAGTCAAACTTGATGCCAACATCAGAAGGTCACTCTACGGATGTTATGGGAAGCATCTGGGCAGTTCACCTTTGAATTTGTTGGTGGTGTTGCTGGGGAAATGACAGGGATTGCTTGATCCACTATTCCAGGAATCTACCATCTCCTCAGAATGATCTCTCATTAAAAATAAATGCTACCAGCCAAGTCCCTGAAAACAGTGCTGTCTAACCCTTGAAAATGCTGCTGGGTGGGCAAGACTCATTCTCCAGCTCTGGGTAAAGTGTAGTTGTGGGTCACTCTAGGCGCATTTGAAAGGACATTTGCGGGACTAGAAACTAGCAAGGCAAAAAAAGGAGTGCAACACTCAGCATTGTAGCATCGTTTGTCTAACATCATGATCCTTATATTTCACAAATCTGAGTTCTCAATTTGCTTCATGAAAGACTGTTTGTTTAATATTGTAAGGCCTAGAAAGGATCTCCATGTGTTAGTTATTATTCATTTTAATAGTAGTTTGAAGTTCACCAGGAGTCCTGACTCTTAGCCACTAATCTGGTCTGGGACTTTGCAGAATAGTCCATGTGCACATCATGGAAAATTCCACAAAGAAAATCAGTCCTTAGGACATGCAAGCTCAGGCACTGCTTCCTAAAAACCATTCAGGGGCCTAATGAGCAGGGACACCTGGCACAATTAGAAAGTGAGCTATCTGGGAGAATAAGGAGATACCAGAAAGTGCATTGATAAACTATAAGAACCAATTTAAGTGGGTCCAAAGCTGGCACATATCCCCTTAAAAGCTGAAGAGGAAGTACAAATTAAAATAGAGAGATTCAAAGGTCCCCAAGGACTGTGTGTGCTTCAGGTAATGTGAGCACCAGCCCTCCGACAATGGGAAGCTAACTCTCTC